TTTGATCTGAGAACTTGAGATCAACGATCTGAGCGTGTGATCAATGATTTGCCACGCGATCTGAGGCTAAAGATCAGCGATTTGAAGCTGAAGATCAGCGATTTGAAGCTGAAGATCAGCGATCTGAGCGTACGATCAGCGATCTGGCCATGCGATCTGAAGCTGAAGATCAAGACGATCTAAGCGTGCGATCAGCAATCTGGCCACGAGATCGAAGAGCTAAAGATCAGCGATCTGAGCATGCGATTAGCGATCTGGCCACATGATCTGAGACTAAAGATCAGCGATCTGAAGCTAAAAAATCAAGACGATCTGAGCGTGCTATCAGCGATCTGGCTACGCAATCAGAGAGTTTGGACGCAGGTTTGAGACCTGCATGGGCCACCAAATTGTTGATGCTTGACTTTGGACACCAATGATTCGCACGTGCAAAATGCTAAGAGATTTTTAGAAATTACAAGTGATCGATCCATGAGATTTGAATATTGTACTGAGATTATATATGTTGCAGAAGCATAAATAATAAATTAACAAGAGGGGTTTTTATAGTGGTTCGGATGCTTAAAGCACCTACATCCACTGTTATTTTATTATTTTCTGACTATTTTTATGATATTGCCGGTAAGGCATACAAAGATGAAAAAATATTTTGCTTTACAGAGAGAAAATAATGAAGCTCAAATCTATGCCTAGCTCTCATATGCCCAACCTCCTTTTTTCGTGAAGAGAGGTGTTTATTTATACACCTTTTAAGTCAATGTAATGAGTGCTTCTGCAAGTTGTCATGACACGTGGAGACCACTCCTTAATCCTTATCTTTTTATTTTGATAAAGTTGGGACAAGTGTGCGGTCCTCATCCACTCATAGACAAAACTTGAATCTGCTGGGTTGGTGATAGCTATATGTCTTCTGTCTTGGGGCGATATGGCAGCTCCTGGACTGCACAAAGCCTTCCTGAACTCTGATTGTTTGGTGCTGACATTAGTGCGATTTTTTAGGCACAACAAAATTCTGCAATGAATTTCCTTGATCTGTTCGTGGTTGCATTGATGCCAGTTCTCAAAGTAATCTTGATTACTGCCCTTGGTTTATTCCTTGCATTAGATCGTATAGATCTGCTGGGCCCAAATGCAAGGCACCATCTAAATAATTTAAAGTTATCTTATGCTTTTGCCTTCATTTTTTGTTTTCAGCAGAATATATGGAAAAAAACAAAAAGAAGTTTGATCTTACTTGTATTTCTACAGTTGGTATTTCATGTATTTAGTCCTGCACTCATAAGTAGCTACCTGGCTGATACAATTACTCTTCAAAGTTTGACTACATTGTGAGTTCATCTCTGTTCATACTATCTTTTAACTTGGTGAGAATTGTACATTGTAAGTGACAAAGACAAATATTACCTATGGTAAATTAAATATGTATCTAGCTGCTGTTGTTTTCTCATCACTGGAAAAATATTTGTTAATTGTGTAGGTGGTTCATACCAGTGAATATCCTTCTCACATTCATTATTGGTTCTGCACTTGGATGGTTAGTCATGAAAATCACTAGAACCCCTGAACAACTCAGAGGACTTGTCATTTCTTGCTGTTCTGCAGGTGTAGTGTACACACTCCATTATACTTTCTCTGCATGTATATATATGTAAGGAGAGCGTATTAGATTACATGACAAATGCTTCACTTTATTGTCAAGTACCTCGTCACTTACTGTTTTGCTTACTATTTCGACCTTATGCACCATTTCACGTATGATCACAAGTTGTTGGTCTCAAATTTTTTTTTTCTTTTTTTTGATTCAATGATGTACACAGGTAATATAGGAAACTTATTTCTAATCATACTCCCAGCAGTATGTGACGAGCAAAATAGTCCTTTCGGAGATTCATCCACCTGCTCTACATATGCAAAGGCTTATGCCTCCCTTTCTATGGCGGTATTTTATTTTCCTTGAATCTGATTCGGATACGTGTACCAAATTGTATTAATTAAAGCATACTAAGGTGTTGCTCTATGTCTTCTCACAACCAATATGATTCCATTAATACTCCCAAGACTCTGTAAATCATGTATAGTTTAGTAAGTTTTACTGTTGTGTCTCAAAAGCAGATATCCATTTCACCTCTTTTTTTCTTATTAGTACTTTGATAACACAGTTACGATCAGTATGTCTTTGGACTTACATTTATATTATTATGCGGGCATATGCAAACAATGAAACAAGCCACTCAACTAGTATAAAGAGTCCTGGAGAAAGCTCAGAGAATTTTACTCAAGTGTTGCTTCCAAGCTCAGACGTTAGAGTTAATGTTTATTACATTTCTAGTTTCCATATAAATCTCATCTTTTGTGTTTTATTTTCTATCCTGAACAATTAATTCCGTTTGACAGGTACCAATTTTGGAAAAAAATAAAGGAACGTGTTTCAACATCTGTAGAGAAGATCAACATAAAGAAGATTTTGGCTGCTTCTACAATTGCAGCAGTATGAAATTTATGCAAGTTTGACGTGTTTCCACAAATGCCACCTGAGATGTCTAAAATCTCAAATGGTTTATTGTTGTATAGATAGTAGGCTTAACAATCGGAATAGTGTCTCCGATTCGAAAGGCGATAATTGGTGATAGCGCTCCTCTCGGTGTCATTTATACTGCTACATCTTTGCTGGGGTATAACCATAATAGTTGGAGCAAACCTTGTGAAAGGTAATTAAATAGTGTAAATCATTTGAATGATTTTGATTAAAAGTATTGAAATGGGTTTGGGTATTTAGGTCTGAAAGGATCAGGAGTAGGAGCACCAGTGATTAACAGTGAAATACATAATAATGCCACCATTGGGGGTTGGTGTTGTAAAAGCTGCAAGACATTTTGGGTTCGTGGAATCAAATCCATTGTATGAGTTCACTTTGGTGCTTCAATAATTTGGCCTTTTGGTCCACTTTATTACCGAGGCCTATTATTTATTATAAGAAGAAGGATTATTAGTATTACCCACCCAACGTATTTTAAAACACTTAAAAAATTCCCGAGTCTCTAATATAAATATTGTCAAAACCCCCCTTGATATGATATATTTTTAAAACATTAATTTACATTTTTTTATGAATAATATCCTATTAAGATAACTAAACATTAATTTACATTTTTTCATGAATAATATCCTATTAAGATAACTATTGGTGAAGTTTGAACCATCCAATTCTCTTTAAAATATCCATGGGTGCGTTTGATTTATTATTTTAGATAGGATTTTGGGAATAATATTGGGTAGTTGGATAGGGGAGTATTACGAGGTAAAATTTAAAAATGTATGAAAAAGCCCATAGGTTTGTTAATTTAATTAAACACCCTAATATATAAAATGACAAAAACACCCCACCACCTGCAGTGTCAGATTCTGGCCACCACCGCCGGAATCTGGCCGAAAAATCGCATTACGACACAGACTGGTCGGATCTGTGTCGTAACGCGTTGTTATGGCCTTTTCTGATCAGATCTGCCAAGACGGCCAGATCCATGGTGGATCTGGTCGGAAAAGGCCAGATCGGTGAACTTTCGGCCATTTCTGATTGGCAGGTAGGCTGTTGTACAGATTCCGGTTACCACCGATGGTGGTTGCCAGAATCTGGCAAGTATGGGTCGTGGGGGTGTTTTTGCTAATTTTTAAACTTTTTTTTATGGGGTATTTAATAAATTAATAATCTTATGGGGTCTAAAAGTAATTAAAAAAATAGGCTAATATTTCTGAAATAATGTGCCAAACATTATTTGAAAAATAAGATCCAGAATATGGATAAAAATAATGAACCAAACATGGCCCATGTTATTGAATTAATTAATGCATAAAAAATTGATAAAGGGATTTCTAAGGAAACCCCCACGCATTTCGTAAATTAACTAAACCCCCACTAGTTTTGGAAATTGGACTCTAACCCTATTCCGTTAAAATTTTCGTTGAACTAATTGAAACAGAGGTATCATTGATATTTCATCAATAACGAAGGGTAATTTTGATCTTCGTTTTTTAATAAAAAACACTCAAGTTAATTTTTTTCCACTCTCTTTCTAAACCTTCATTTCTCCTCTCTTTTCTTTCTTTCTTCTCTCATTCTTTCCATCACTGCTACTTGGCCCTTGTGGTGGCCAGGTTTTGGACCATACGGCCAAATTTGGCCCCCACAAGGCCTCCATGCATTGGTCACATTTGGTCGTGTGCGTGAGGCCAACATGACAGCCTAATTTGACCACCACATGGGCTATGACAACACCAAATTTCGCCGTCGATAGCTTGTGGTTTTAGACTTTCCAAAACTTAATTTTTTTATTATTATTATTATTAATTTTTTTTTGGTTTGTTGTAGATCTAATAAACTTTTGGTATTAGATTGTTAGAATGTTGACATATTTTATGGAGGTTGGATTGATGAGATTGTAGATGAAATTTGGAGGTTGATTTTATGAAGATTTCATATGTTAGATCGACCAAGGTTGGGTGATGAATTTTGATATTGAAAGTTTCGATTTTAAAATGAGATTTTTATTATAAATTTGTTGGGGGTAAATAAAGTTGTAAAGTCCGTTGGATTATGTAAAAGTTCTGTAAATTTTGACTAAATATTGTGAATTAATAATTTTTGGGTAATTAATAAAATATCATTAAAGGGCAAAAATGTCATTTTTACTTCAACAGAGTTTTATACTTTTATTGACTGATTTTAACAGAATGGGGGTTAGGGTCCTATTTCCCAAACCAGTGGGCGTTTAGTTGATTCACGAAACACATGGGGTTTTTCTATATAAAATTAAAACTTGTAAATATACATTTTCGGTGTCGGTGGAGCGTGTAGGGTTGGAGCAGTTTTAAATTACAATATTAACCTTCTGAATAAAAAATTGATTTTCAGAATCATTCAAGTTTTGGCGGGAAATCATAGATCACAATCAATAAAGCCGCCAAATTAAATCAAACGCACTCTTCTTTCAGAATCAAAGAAAATGCCTCCAAGAAAGAAACTGAATTCATCTACAGTCAAGAAATCACAATCTTTATCTTCTCCTCAGATTCAGCCTACTAAGTTTGGCATCCAACATTTCTTCGAACGCCATACTCAAAACTCTAAGAACGTTGCCGTTTCTTCAACCCCGCTAAACCCTCATCCCCATTTCCTCAATTCTAACCCTAAAAATGCTTCACATTCTCTTTCTACCCAAAATCCCCCTGATTTATCCCTCCACAATACACCTCCTGACGATATGGTTTCTCCTGAAATTTCCAAATCTCTCCCTCTCAAGCGCTTCAAGTTCTCTCCCGGGATGGTAATTTTACTTATTTATTTTTTTTCTTGGTGTAATCATGAAGAATATTTTATTTTTATTTTTGGCTAATTATGCTGTTTGGAATTACATGTAATAATAAAACAAAGTTGATAAAGCAAAGCCAGGATGACGGAGGTGACGAAATTACTTGGAAGATATCTCCTGTCAATGAAAAGCTCCAATCAAGAGTAGTGTCCAATTCTTCGAGGCTCAACTCTTCAATTATTCGTCAATGCTGTTTAAATCAGGCATGTCTTTGGTATAATTTCTCTATTTTGTTTGAAAGATTTTACTATTAGTTTATTGACAATAAATTGTGCAGAGTATGCAGGATTCCCCTGGTACAGCTGGTAAGGTTGAGAAGTGGATTTCTTCACCCACACAAAACTCTACTGAAACATCTTTGGTTTGTACAAATAAGTCTGCCCTGAAAAGGTTAAACCCTGATCAGGATGCTCTTCTCCATGGGAGTGCAACTAATGCCAATACTACTCTATCATCTAGTCAGCATAGTCCATTCAGAACTCCTCCGTCTCTGTCATTTCCCCATGATAAGGTAATTTAATATGACTTGCCTCATTTGGTCTTATTTTAAGAAAACGGGGAAGAAATATTTGAAAAATTGTTGCATCTTTGACGTTTCATAAATCAGGAAAGAAGACAAAATGAAAGCAAGGGCAATCTAGATTTTTTTTTTTTCATTTTCTGATAAATGCTGTATGGATATGTAGCTACCCAATGGTGCTGTGTGCAACGGAGCATCTGATCACCTGGGCTTCAAGCAGCACAAAAAGGTTTTACTGAATTTTTGCATTTGAATACAACATGAATAATTCAATTTCACATCATCTATTCCTTGTAACTACTCATATTGATTTGTTTGTCTTGTAGGCATTGCTTGAACTTTTGGATCAAGTAGAAGATGCCATTTTTGTTGAGGATTCTGTAGCTGGTGTCGTGGAGGCGTATCCATCCAAATTTGAAGATAAAAAAAGTGATAATATGTTTATCAAAGCTGATCCCCCTGCTAAAAGAGTGACAATAGATCCACCGGAAAAGGTCAACGGGACACCTTCTAATTGCTATTTCCTTGTATTGGAGGTATGCTTTTCTTCAATGATTTTATTTTTCCGCTTTCAGTTGTGTGTTTCTTTCTTCCTGATTAAAATTGTGAGTTATTGGATCTCTTTCTTTCTTCCTAAATGAAATATTGAGTTATTGAATATTGATTTTTGCTCAACGTGTCACTGATATAGGTATCCGAGAAGTGTAGGCCTTCTGACTCCTTCGGTTCTAAATGCCCATATAAGGTTTTTTGTAAGCGTGATTCTCAATACATTCATTGATTGCATAGACTGGCATGGCAGTGACGTCTGTCAACTGCTTTTTCAGGTTCTTCGCTTATTAAATGAGCAAAGTGGAGAAGAGCGGGCTGTGTATTTGTGGGAAGAATGGTATATAGTTCAACTTATCTTGCTGTGAACCATGAAACTGTTGCCATTTTTTGTTTTGGAATCGTATACGTGTGGGTTGATTATCGCTCCACCCATTCCGGAATTACACTTTTTGTGTCATTTTTATTTTTTTTAACATTTTCTTACTATTATAGGCATCGAGACAAACCATCTTGGTTTTATGCCTTCAATCTTCGATAAGCTCCTTAATGATAAATTAGTTGGAAATTATTTTGGCTTTTACTAAGGCATATGTTGATCTTCTGATATGAAGTTTCACCTGTAATTGCTTGATGTGCTTTTGGATATGGTGTTCTAGCATTTCGAATTATTTTTGACTTGTGTGCCAGTGATCTTCTACTGAGAATATTATGTGTTCAAAATTTTTGTAGATTCTGACTGTGTCTTATTGGTTGATTAATTGCCTTTGGAGATTATGTTCTTATGCCCCTAAAAACTTTCACCAGGTTTTACAGTGTAATTGCTCCTGGAGATACTGTAAATGTTGTTGGTGAATTTGATGACCAGGGAAAGTGTGACGTGGATCGTGACAGTAATCTTGTAATTGTTCACCCTGATATTCTGGTCTCTGGAACTAGGGTAATTGATTTCTACTTGTCTGAATTTCATGTTTATTATTAGCGGCAATATGTGTTGTGATCTTGTCATGCTAACTGCTCTGAACCATTATTTAGGAGGATTCTAATCATGAAATTTGTTGTGTTTACCTAGTTCTTCCTGATAAATCTAAAAACATTCAGGTCGCTGCAAGTTTTAATTGCCCAAGGCGAACTGTTCTAGATGAGAGGCTAAAATGTAGTGAGCAATCAACTGCAGCATTAATTGGTACCTTGCTGCACCAAATTTTCCAGGTCAATGATTGAAAAAAAAGAATCCCCTTATATATTTGTCAAATTTGTAATAAATTAGCAGTTTTTTCAATGAATATGCATCTAAGATATGCTTATGTATGATTTCCTTGCCTTTTGCAGGCTGGACTTATGACAGAGATTCCTACAATAAACTTTTTGGAGGAATATGCTGGAGTAGTCCTCCAGAAGAACATTGAGAGTTTGTATGCATGTGGAGGTGGAGATTTTCATAAATGCCACTTCCAATTTTTAATTTCTTTCTGGCACCTTCATCTTGGTTAATCGTTAAATAGACCTATAGAATCATAACCACTGTCATGTTAGTTCAGTGGGCTGCTTTGTGTAAAAGTTTCACATAGTAATTTATTTTAAACTATATGATCATTAAACTGTATTGATCATCTTGTCCGAAGGTTCTTATCTATTCATTATGTGGAACCTGCAGTAAATGAAATCGATATTCACAAAACCTTGATTGAGGCTATTCCAAAAATTTTGAATTGGATCATTCTCTTCAAAGGTACAAAGGTGAGCCAACTGCTCCTCCCCCTCTTCCTGCTCATTGCTGTTACCCCTTTCACTCAAATTTTACTCGTATTTGGAAGATCTTCATACGTATTTATAAATTTGTTACTGCAAAAGTTAACCCTGTTTTAGTGGTGGCTGCCACTTTGCAGTCCTTGCCTTGGTGCTCATGAACCTAGGTTGTTGCATTGTGTATCGGTATTATCCCTTTTGTCCTAGATTCCTCTATACCCAACATTTTATTTTTTTGTTAGATGACTTTTATGTGTGTAAAGTAAAATTTTTCTATGTGGTCATAGTTGTACTTGTAGTGGAATTCCTCTATGCTTATGTTTGTCTTCCAACCACTTGTATTGCTGTCATGTGACTAATAAGCCAGCAATGAAACTTTCCTATTCTTGAGGCTAACAGTTTAGAGGTTGCTTGCAGGACTCCAAAGTCCCTATTGTGGATTTTGGATCTGATGGTGGGCATAAAAAGGTCAAACTATCTGAGGTTAGGCTCTTCCTTGTCTTGTTTGTGCATAATTACTTGATGTATCATTTGTTTTGCAGTACTTATGCATTTTAGAAGAAATACATGCTCATGGATCTTATAAGCATGGGTATCAGAGGCATGGTTAGGCACTTATGTGCATGCAGTTGCCTATACTTCTAGCATTCTGCATGAATTCAGGAAATACCAGCAATTTGCAACTGATTGCTTCATGCAATATTCAGGTGTCTCCACATGTCTACATCAGACTACATAAATTTTCCAGGCCATCCAACTGATAACTGCGTGAGCTATTGTGTGGAGGGCCCAACTAGTATAAGTAGCAATATCAACTTCTGAATGTAATCTGCAATACACTGACATAAATATTGTTGTCTTTTTTTCTGTCTGTAATTAAACACTCTAATCTAGTCAAGGGCACTTCCAATTATTAAAAGTGTTAACTTGTAGAAGGGAGTAATACTATTGTTATTTACTTTAACATGAACTGTATCACATTGTACTCATAAGAAATTTACTCTTGATTGCAGGTTATGGATATCGAGGAGATGGCATGGGCCCCGAAATATGGTTTGAAAGGGATGATTGATGCTTCAATAAGAGTAGAAACTGAATCAAACAGAGATGAAACTGATGAGATGATTGTGCCTTTAGAGTTTAAGACTGGAAAAATACCCAATGGTCAGGCAAGTATTTAGTCTTTACAGAAATTTATGAGCCAAGGGTCCAGAATGTTCAAATTTTTAAAGATGCATGAGACATTATTCAAATTACTCAATCTACATGACGCCATTGTACTTTTTTTTTTTATTACTCGTTTCTGCAGTCATCTATGGAACACTGTGCTCAAGTGATTTTATACACTCTCCTTATGTCTGAGAGGTGTGAATGCTGTCAACATTATTAAATTATTTGGGCAAGGGGAAGGGGGTGGATTGGTCAATTTATATGCCTTTTTGTGGGCCACTTTTGAGAACTTTTCTTTATTAATTGTTTTGTTCAGGTACCTGAAGCATATTGATCATGGCCTTCTCTATTATCTCCAGTCAAATCAGACTCAGGTAAAATAAGATACTGCCATGTATTTGTAACTCTCCTCTTAGAAAGCCAATTGATCATCTATTGATCATGTGTGAAGGGAATAAAAGTTCGAAGATCTGACTTGGTTGGGCTAATCATGCGTCGTAATGAATTGGCAAACGATATTCTTAAGGCATCAACAACACAACAACTGCCGCCACTGTTACGGGTATGGCTACTGTTGAATTGTTAAGATCATGTGTTTCTAGACAACTCTTTATGGATTACCTTAGTAATTAGGTAAATGTTTCTTTTGTAGAGTCCAAGCATGTGCAAGGGCTGTCGCCATCTTAATGTTTGTACCATCTATCATAAGGTAACATTTTGAACTTTACAAGTTGAGGGAGTAAAGTTTTTCTCCTCATCTGGTAGGCTATTTATAGTTGTATATCTTAATAACTAAAAAATATTTTACATGGCAGCACTGATAGTTTTTAGTCTTCTGGACATTAGTCCATGTAAAAGATTGCAATTAAAGGAGTAAAATAATGCTTTTCAATATGTATGTTGAAGCTTTTGTTTCTATTCAGATTATTTTGTCCATGGCATTTTTCAATATTAATTTTCTAATTTTAAGTATAAGGAAATTCATATTTTATGAGACTGTTGAAATACAATCTGAGCATTATCATAGATGCATATTAATTATGAGGGTCATTTGTATAAATCTAGGACATTGTCATATGAAAATCCCTGTGTTCTTCAACTTTTATTGATTGTTTTAACAGAAACAACTTCAGTTTATAAATTGTGCTTTGTGCCCTTTTCTTGTTTTGATAACTTATGGGGCTTTAATTTTGTTCAAGACAAAAGAACGTTTAGTTGGTGGAAGGTACTTTCTATCGGCATTGTCTGAAGATTCTAACATTACAAGGTTTCTTTTATTGATTCTTGGGCTTCTGCTACTGGTACTGAGTGCTCATAGTTGCTCCTCCTTGTTCAAATGCTGCAGGCACATGGTGGCAACACTGAAAGTAGTGGGTTGGGTGACATGTTTGATTCACATATTCACCATCTTACAACTGCTCATTGTGTTTTCCTTCGTCATTGGGATCGATTAATCGACTTAGAAGCTAAAGAGATGCAGGTGCAAGTTTTTAAAAAAAAAAACTGTATTTATACAGTAAAAGTAGTTAACATCCTGCAGTTTTGTGCATGACAAATCTAGTGGCTATTTCATGCTTAATATCTTTCTTTCCTCTCAATTTCAGCTTGTAAAGAATGAAATCTGGCGATCACGTGGTTTGAGGGGTGACCCCTTAACAAGTTGCCTTACTTCTATTGTTCTTGACACTTCCAAAGAACTTTTACATCATAAGTCTTATAAGGACGACCGATTTGTCTACCGTTTTGTGCACCAAGATATACCTTCTCGCAGTTTGAATGCCTCTGACGGAGAATCTTTGAGTGTTGTGGCTTCGCCAGCAAATGTTTTGGATTGCACACTTAGAAGTGGAGACTATGTGGTATTTTTTATTCTCAAGTCGTGAGACTTCTACAAATCTAGTTTTAGCTGAATTCACAACTAATACGCCCTTAATTAGTTTCACATGAGGCGTTCACAAATGATGTCATGGCTTCTGCATTTGTATTTTTATCGGTTTGGTCAACCAAAAAAGTTATGTTACTGTTTTGGAGCCAAATTGACCATCTCATTTTATACACATATCATCTATATATATATATATATACTGACCAATAGCCCAGTTTTTCATATAATATCACGGATTGTTTATTCTATTGATTTAGTCCACAAAAAAAAGTTACATTACAGTGTTGGAGCCAAATTGGCCATCTCATTTTGTACATATCATCTTTAGTATTTACTGTTGTGAATAATTGAGTACTTTTTCTATTTTAGATGCTTAGCACCAAAACCGGCCATCTTACTGTTGCTAGTGGGTTCATAACAGATATCAGTCGCTCCCATGTTTCTGTAAGCACAATGTTTGCTGTGTTTTCTATTCATGTTGCTATGGTGGATAGGATTCTTATCTTCTGTAAATTAGGTTTCCCTTTCCAAGCGCTTACGGCTACCTGGGAGCGATGCTGCTTCAGAGGCCCAGGATCTGTTTCAGGAGGTTTGGCGAATTGACAAAGATGAAGTGATGACGTCATTTTCAGTTATGAGGTAACTACTGACTATAATTTCATCTTAAGCATTCTTCAAAAGTTTCTTTCTCTTGTTGCATTAGGACCTCTAATATTTGAGCTATCTACAGTCACGCTTTTAATCATTGTTGAAGGTTCAACCTGGTACAACTTTTTCAGCAAAGTGCAGAAAGTTCTCAGCTTAGGAAGATGATTGTTGACCTTGAGGTAAACACACATTGCTAGACTTTTTATGGTTTTTAAAATTACTGTGGTTTGCCAATGCTTTTATCTTTATTGGTGTCTGCCTTTGTGTGTGCAAGAACATGCATATGATTTGAAAATGTGGATTGCTTTTAGGCTCCTAGATTTGACAGTGGATGTATATTCAGTCAAGATCCTGCTATATCGTATATCTGGTCAGAGAAGAATTTAAATGATGATCAGCGTCGAGCTATTCTCAAGGTTGTCAATATTTTTATTTAGGTTTTGCTATTGGCTTAATTTTTCTTTATAAGTCTGTCACTGAATACAACCCTTGTCTTGTCCACAAATTCTTTGTTTCAGATTCTCACCACAAAAGATTATGCCCTAATTCTAGGAATGCCGGGAACGGGCAAGACATCTACCATGGTTCATGCTGTTAAAGCTTTGTTGATGAGAGGTTCATCTATTTTGCTAACGTCTTACACAAACTCCGCTGTGGACAATTTACTAATCAAGTTAAAAGCACAGGTCATCTCTATCCTTGATGCATCTATTAAGAATTAGAGAATGTCCCGTGTTCCCTATTCTCTTCAAATTTGTTATGTGTTGTTAGTGGTATCATGCTTCAAATAGGTAACAAATAACGCCGGGGTAATTGTGCTGACTATCTGTATGTTGTTACAAAACATGACCAATTGTAAGGATTATTTTTTGGTTATAAATAAGACTTGGCATACTTCGAAAGGAGCAGACTGATAGCATTTTTTATAAAGAAAACATAAATTGATGTAAATATGGTGTTGAATAACCTGAAATTGCTTTTCCTTTTACCTTATATGTTGAGAAAGACTACAAAATTGCAACTCAGCTGAGAACTTTCTTGATAGATTTTGGACCACTGTGCAATCATTTTATGATTGATTTATCTGATTGTTGTATCCTATCTTTATACTACCCTTTTTCCTGTGCATGTGATTGAAATTCAAATAATGGCAGAATATTGATTTTGTACGCATTGGGAGACATGAAGCTGTGCATGAGGATATACGGGGGCATTGTTTTTCAGGTCAGATAACATATCTTTAGTAGCTTGCTTTAGTGAAACAGTCAATATCTTCTCCATGTAATTGAAGTTCAAATGACAGCAATGAAAATAAAAAGTGTTGAAGAGATCAAAGTGAGATTAGACCAAGTCAAAGTTGTTGCAGTTACTTGTTTGGGAATTACTAACCCCTTGCTCATCAACAAGAGATTTGATGTATGCATCATGGATGAAGCTGGACAGACTACCCTTCCTGTATGTACTGCTTTTTGCCGTTTTACCATCTCTACCCTTTATATTGTGTTGTTGATGATTTACTATTAATGCCATAGAGTATGAAACTTAATAAGGCACACTGTAAAAGAAATTGGAATCTACTGTAATTTCTCACACTTATAACCCACAGATTGCAATTTTTGTCATTCTAGAAATGAATGACCTGGAACAACAAAATTGTAGCCAAAAAGTTCATTTGGGCCTATGAAAGATAAGTTAGCCTTAGAGAAGTGAATTAATTTGGGAATGTAGAATGCTATAATTTATTATTAATACTATGAAATAGAAGTTTGCCAAAACAAATTATGTGTTACAGTATTGAGTGTTGCTGTATTGTGAATTGTGATATATGAAGTATGGGTACTGATAATGTGTACTGATCTGATCTGGATACAAAGCACTAAAATGATGAATAGAAGTAGAACATTATCTAAAGCAAAGATGGTTTTGTGAGGTGAAACAGTATCTAATGATGTTGTTCCTTAGATTAAATGGAAGACGTTTTGGTTGAGATTATTAGTATTACCTTCTTTGTGATGCAACTTTTTGAAGAGAAGTAAAAGGGATATCATGATTCACATTTCAGTTGTGTTATTTATTTTTAATCTGAATGGTGGATGATGTAAGAATAGAGTTCTTCGAAAATCTGTGGATTGATGAGTGTTTGTTTTCCTATCAGGTATCCTTGGGACCTTTAATGTTTGCTTCAAAGTTTGTCCTTGTTGGTGATCATTATCAACTGCCTCCCCTGGTCCAGGTATCTAACTATGTATCTTTAGTTTGATATTTATTTTATGCGTCTTTATTTATAGGTGCTTGAACTTTATGCCATAAAGTTAAGCTCGTTTAAAGTGTTGTGCTAATTATTGTGTAGAGTATGGAAGCTCAAGAGAATGGAATGGACATAAGTTTGTTTCGCAGGCTCTCAGAAGCACATCCTCAGGCAATTTCAGCATTGCAAAGCCAGGTAATCCCTAATTTTGAATTGAATTCCTGGGGCTAACTCTGCCTTTTACTATGTCAATATACCATGTTATTATTGTGCAGTACCGTATGTGCCAAGGCATTATGGAACTATCAAACGCCTTAATATATGGTGATAGATTGCGTTGTGGTTCACCTGAAATAGCTGATGCCAAAATTGAAGTTTCAAATTTGAAGTCTTGTTCATCATGGCTAAAGGAGGTAAATCCAGCTTCTTTTGTTTTCATAATTTGAAATGCTCTCTTAGTAGTCTTATTGGGATTAAAATATTTTCTTGTTTGTAGCTAATGTGATTTTGTTTGTTCTTGAAATTCTACATATGGATGCCTGTTTTAGAAAGGACAGAAGTTGATGGAATTTAAACATTTATAACTTGTTCTCATAATTGCAGGTTTTGAATCCAAACAGACCTGTAATATTTATTAATTCAGGTTTGAGGAGTTTGTGTTTTGTGTATGTTTGGTTAGTTAAGTGGGTTGGGTTTCTTAACGAATCATTTTGTATTACATAGATATGTTGGCTGCTTTTGAGAGAAAAGTTAACAAGACTTTGAATAATCCAATTGAAGCTTGCATAATTGCAAAGGTATGCGTAATAATATTATTGATTTGTTTTATGAGGCATGGTATTAATTATTGATTGATTGATTGGATGGTGGGTTATGATATAGATCACAGAGGAACTTGTTAACAAGGGTATTGAAGGCAAAGATATTGGGATCATTACCCCTTATAATTCGCAGGCCAATCTCATCCGCCATACTGTTTGTGTACCCTCAGTGGAGGTTCATACCATTGACAAGTACCAGGTCTGGGTGAAGCATTTATTAATAATGATATAGATAATTGATTATTATTTATCAAAGTGATGTTGGTAATTTAACAGGGAAGAGATAAAGAGTGCATATTGGTGTCATTCGTAAGGTGTAGTGAGAATCCGAGGAACTCTACTTCTTCACTGCTTGGAGACTGGCATAGGATTAATGTGGCACTCACTCGTGCTAAGGTAAGGCACATTAGGATTAAGTTAAATTGTTTTAAAAATTAGGAGCAGGTGTGAGTGTGATATTTTTGGTTGTGCAGAAAAAGTTGATAATGGTAGGCTCACGCACCACTCTTTCAAAGGTTCCTCTGCTCAAACTTCTGATTAACAAGGTTGAACAACAGTCAGGCATTTTGAGTGTCTCCAAATTGGATATCAACCACTTTGGAGACCTCAACAGATGCTCTCACTCTCATATCACATCATTGTAACTATTCTAATAATTTTAGGCTAAAGTTTGGTAGCTAGCTAGCTAGCTAGCTCAAATGAAAACAATTCCAATCATAATCCATGCATCACGAGGTAACAGTATCTGCCTTCATCTCACTATACAATTACAATTACAATTACAATACAACAATAACATTTCCTTTTCTTGCACCCACTCTCAAGTGTAGTCACATCATAAATAATTAATCATTTATTTAACATAAATTTTACCTATAATATTTATGTAATTTAATCTTTTTCTGTCGTTGTTTTGTCGCAAGTGTTGGCTTAGCCTTAAACAATAGACAAAAAATAATTAAAAAATGTGTAGTTAATTTTGAGAGTGTAGTGTTGTGTTGTGCGGCATTCATTCTCACATCACATGCCCCGCCACTATTACATGGAAGATCAAACACTGATTAGACTGCTAATTAAAACATTACTAGTGCAAGTAGAAGATGATTATGTTGACATAAAATCAAATTAAGTTAATATATATGTAGCAAGTCGCTTTCTTGGCCATATAGAATGAAACAATACAATCTGGTAGTTATCCATCGTTTTCTTTTCAATTCATGATTTAGATTTGGTAATCGGATCAAGCTCACTTCACTTCTTCTACTTGTATGCAAATAGAAAATGGTGTATGTGTTTGTAAATAAAATAGCCTTGTCATTCCTAACTTTATAATTTATGGAATGGAGTATTGTATTTTCTACGTCAGGCAGCTCAGCAGAGGTGGCCCATCGAGAACGACCTCACTAACCTCTCCACTCATCAACCACAACAATACAAACAACAAAAACACACATACATTTAATGCATCTGAATCTGATCTGACTAACACCAAGCCACCAACCATTCCACATGCTTTCTCAAACTACATTTTATATTTATTTTCTACTCCCAATAATTGGACGGATCTTTCGCCAACCTCGGGCATTGTTAAGGGATTAAAATTTTAATTATATTCTCATCAATTTCAAAAGAATTCAATATGTTATGATTTGAAGTTGTTTGGATGTCTGTCTATATATATAAAAACAGAATTGAATTCTTACCTAGAAATTATGATCCTACAACCTAGCTATTTCCAGCGCCTAGTGTGAGAGTTGGGTCCAATCAGGAATGCATTACTTTGTTCTTTTAAGAGCCGTCACTCACTTTGCTACGTCCACCATCATCAACGCCGCACCCTTACCTAGATTACATTTTCACATTTACGCTACCTGCCAAACTACCCTTCTTAACAAATCACATATTCTTAATTTATTGTTTTTTAGTTCTTGTGCTCTCCGAGTCTTATTTTACATCTCCCTCTCCCTCTCCCTCTCCCTCTCTCACTTCATCCTCATGGTCCCATTCATCAATACATGAATATGACCTCTTGAAACATGCAAAAACCTGCCATTCCAAACTTCAAACTTTCCTATAATATTAACTTCCCCCAATATATAACACTTGTTTAGCCTACTGCTGTTGTTGTTGTTGTTGTTCAAGTTGAAGTTGAAGTTGAAGTTGAAGTTGAAGTTGGCAGATGGATATGTTCCCTTCAAACTTTGCTTCCAGTAAGCTACCTCTAACCTCTTCCTATTCTATTCTATTCTATGATTATACTTACTTGCGCAAACAAACTTATGAATCAATTCTAATTTAATACACCATATCTTATGTGTATATATAAGAACACCTTATCACAAATAATTGTTTACGCAATTAAGTGCAGTTAGAGTTCCAGATAGTGATTAGTGAAGAAAATTGATGCCACTTCATTCAAAATCTAATATTTACTTGTCTCTCTATCTTCTATAGCCAACTTCAAGCAAATTTTATTAACGTAAAACTTTTTTCGCTATATTCTAATTCAACCCCATTTTCTTTATTCCTAAGCAACTTTCTTCAAAATTCTCCTCTTCAGTTGCTTAGTTTGCCCCCAGAATGTCCCTTAAAGTCATTTTCTTATTTCTTTTATACTACAAGTGCAACGCTTAGTTCACTCTGTTATCTTGTATAAACATTGATGCACATTATGCTACTGGTGAATTAGCACCTTTACAAACCACTTGCTCGATTAGTCATAAAGAACTTTTACATTTTTGCATAGATTAAATATTAGTGTTTTTAGCTAGTGGTTATTTACTAGTTCCAACTTCTAATTAAGAAACAATTTCTTTTTTTTCTTAGTCCAAATCCAGAAAACAGAGTTGTTTAATCTCAACCTGAAATCTAGAGGGATCTTCCGAGGAGAGTAGGAGAAAGTGGAAAAGAAATCTGTTTCAGTATATATTAAATTTCTTAGATGCCAATTGAAATAAAAATAGTTGCAAACTGAATTTTAAATAATTAAAAAAAAATGCAAACCCGATAAGCAAGAGAGAAATGAAGAACTATATAAAAAGTACTCACTGATATCATGTGGTTTAAATGTTTAGTTGTGCCGGAGTCCAGGACAGTGACGATGAAACATACTCAAAATATGGTGGTAACCCTCTCTAGAATAGTCCACAACTTATCTTAATTTGTTTAAAAAAAAAAAAAAAACATTCCTGTCAAACACAAAATGCCACATTAGTAGTCACAATGTCCTTGCGTTAATAAACTGGTGCAATAAAATTTGCTTATCATAAAAACAAGCTTCTTTTGTAGTATAATTGACAAAATCATATTCACGATAGTTCATGTCCAATATATCTATCACTGATCAAATCTACTATTAATCCTATCATTGTACAACCATATAGCAATTTCACATTCATAGCCTACTTTAAAACCCAGCTGCAGTTAAAACAGTAAATATTTTACTAGTAATATCAATAGGAATGTAACTGCATTGGAAAAAGAAATTAGTATGTCTCTCCCAAAGATATCTTTAACCTGCTTGTAACGTGTGACAGAATTTAAGCTTCTCCAGTCCAACAAAGCATGGCGGCTACTAAAATCACCCTGTTTGAGGGAGCATATCTTCATAGTTGTGCAACTTGGGTTCCTTGGACTCTTACTTTTTCAATTTGTACGAAGAATTATCAGTCTAATAAGCAGACATGGAACAGAGTTGAGAGATCAAGTTGCAGAGAAGTCCAACATTAATGTAAAGTTTAGCATCTCTTACAAAGCCACCATGGTTTGCTCCGCTTTACTATTTGGCACTCATTTCATGATGTTACTGAATATGCTAAATGGTAGTGAGACACTCTGCAGCTCTCCTGTTCGAGCTTTTTCTTCAGAGATTATGCAAGTGGTTTCATGGGCGAGTACATTGCTTGTAGTATACAAGATTCCTCATACTAAGTATGCCAAGTTTCCTTGTCTTCTGAGAGCATGGTGGTTTTGCAGCTTTTTGTTGTGCGTTATCTGCACAGCTCTTGATACCTATTTCAGAATTATAAACACAAGTAAATTCGGAATACAAGATTATATGGATCTCATTGGCCTCCTTGCATCCACCTTCCTTTTTGGTATATCAATCCGAGGGAAGACAGGCTTAGTTTATAATGTCTCTGGTGACATAACTGAGCCGCTTCTCAATGGAAAAGATTCTAGACATTCACAATACAAAAGGGAATCTCAATATGCAAAAGCGACTCTTCTCCAACTGATTACCTTCTCCTGGCTCAACCCATTATTTGCTGTTGGAATAAAAAAACCTCTTGAACAGGATGAAATCCCAGATGTTGATATCAAGGACTCTGCTGGATTTCTATCTTACACATTTGAACAGAACTTAAAACATGTTAAACAGGAAAAGGAAAGCACAAACCCATCTCTCTACAAGGCAATGTTTTTGTTTATTAGAAAGAAAGCAGCAATTAATGCACTTTTTGCTGTGACAAGTGCTGGAGCATCGTATGTTGGCCCATACCTTATTGACAACTTCGTAAATTTCCTCAGCAATAGGAAAAACCAGAGCTTACAGAGTGGGTACTTGCTTGCTCTCACCTTTTTAGGTGCCAAGATGGTTGAGACAATAGCACAGAGGCAATGGATCTTTGGAGCCCGCCAGTTAGGCATTCGCCTAAGAGCAGCTTTGATATCTGAGATATACAAAAAGGGGCTGCATTTGTCAAGCCAATCCCGCCAAAGTCGCACCAGTGGAGAGATTATCAATTATATGAGTGTAGATGTCCAAAGAATTACAGACTTTATGTGGTACGTAAATACTATATGGATGTTTCCCGTGCAGATATCCTTAGCCATCTACATTCTGCATACAAATATAGGTTTGGGATCCTTGGCTGCATTGACAGCAACTGCAACAGTCATGTCTTGCAACATACCTATTACAAAGAATCAGAAGAGATACCAATCAATGATCATGGATGCTAAGGATAATAGGATGAAAGCCACTTCAGAAGTTTTGAGAAATATGAAGACGCTAAAACTTCAAGCATGGGATGATCAGTACCTCCACAAACTTGAAAGTTTGAGGAAAGTCGAGTGCAACTGGCTATGGAAGTCACTAAGATTAGCAGCAACTTCAGCTTTCATTTTCTGGGGAGCACCCACATTCATCTCTGTGCTGACTTTTGGGACATGTATTCTAATGGGAATTGAACTTACAGCTGGGAGAGTCTTATCCGCACTGGCCACCTTCCGAATGTTACAAGATCCTATATTTAGTTTACCTGATCTACTGTCAGTGATTGCACAGGCCAAAGTTTCAGCAGATCGGATCGCTTCTTTCCTCCAGGAAGATGAAATTCAGCAGGATGCTATTGACTATGTCCGAAAAGAGGAATCGGATTACGAAGTTGATATTGAGAATGGTAAATTTAGCTGGACTTCTGAGTTAAGCAGCCCAACTCTCGATGGAATACAGTTGAAAGTAAGCAAAGGGATGAAGGTGGCAATTTGTGGGACGGTAGGTTCAGGCAAGTCTAGCCTGCTTTCATGCATTATCGGGGAAATACAGAAGCTGGCAGGGACAGTCAAGATCAGTGGTACAAAGGCTTATGTTCCTCAGTCACCATGGATACTGACAGGAAATATCAGGGAAAATATTCTTTTTGGGAATCAATGGGACAGTTGCAAGTATGACAGGACGGTTAAAGCATGTGCCTTGACAAAGGATTTTGAGCTGTTCTCCTGTGGTGACCTTACCGAGATTGGAGAAAGAGGGATAAATATGAGCGGAGGACAGAAACAGAGGATACAAATTGCCCGAGCAGTTTATCAGGATGCAGATATATATCTACTCGATGACCCTTTCAGTGCTGTAGATGCTCATACAGGCTCCCAACTCTTTAAGGTGAGGTCCATAGTAAGAGTAGATGTTAGTAGAAATATATCTCATTCACTCCACTACTTAGAAAAACCACAACTACTTAATACATTGATTGCTTAATTACTCTTTGTAGGAGTGCTTGATGGGACTTCTTAAAGACAAGACCGTACTTTATGTTACCCACCAAGTTGAGTTTCTTCCAGCAGCAGACCTCATTCTGGTAAGCATGTTCCTGTAAAAGATCTGTTCACTTTTCTGTCATTTGAACAGAACAAAATGGATCCGTTTAAGCAATTGAAAACAAGAAAAATAGTGTATTTCCAAACAATTAATTATATAGGGACAAGTTACCACAACTTCTATAAATCTTAACAGGTGATGGAGAACGGAAGAATTGCACAAGCAGGTAGATTTGAAGAACTTCTGAAACAAAATATAGGGTTTGAAGTTTTAGTTGGGGCTCATAGCCAAGCTCTAGAGTCAATTATGACAGTTGAGAATTCAAGCAGAACACCTCAAGAACCAACACCTGAAACTGATTCCAGTAGTTCAAATGCACAAGTTGAGCATGAACCAGAATCTACAGAAGAGATAAAAGAAAAGGGAGGAAAACTGGTGCAAGAAGAAGAGAGAGAGAAAGGAAGCATTGGAAAAGAAGTTTATTGGTCTTATTTAACTTCTGTGAAAGGAGGAGCACTAGTTCCAACCATAATCTTGGCTCAGTCATCATTCCAAGTATTACAGGTAGCTAGTAACTATTGGATGGCATGGTCTTCTCCACCTACAATCGACACCCAACCAGAAATAGGAATGAATGTAGTTTTACTTGTATATGCATTACTTGCTGTTGGAAGTTCACTTTGCGTGCTGTTACGAGCCATGCTAGTAGCAATAACAGGACTTCGAACTGCCCAAAAACTATTCACTGACATGCTGCATAGCATACTCCGAGCTCCAATGGCATTTTTTGATTCAACTCCAACCGGAAGAATCTTAAACCGGGTCAGTAACAGATAAAATTATCTATTCATACAGGACTGTCCCTTAAAATGCAATTCTTAGGCATAGCAATCAATGATTCGGAGCAACAATGTATTCAAGTTATTTCATTTGCAGGCATCTTCAGATCAAAGTGTACTAGACTTGGAACTGGCAACCAGATTAGGTTGGTGTGCTTTCTCAATAATACAGATTCTAGGGACCATTGCAGTGATGTCACAGGTAGCATGGGAAGTGTTTGTGGTCTTCATTCCGGTAACTGCTATCTGCATATGGTACCAAGTAAGAGACAAACTCAGCTTTAACATTGATCTACCAATAGGTGGTTGCTTAAGAATTTAGAAACCATATTCTCTCATAAGCTCAAAAGTAATAGTTTAATTCCTTTGATTCTTATGTGTTATTGCTTCAGCAATATTACATACCAACAGCCAGAGAACTGGCCCGCTTGTCAGAGATACAAAGAGCTCCAATCCTCCACCACTTTGCAGAGTCACTATCAGGAGCAGCAACAATTCATGCTTTTGATCAAGAAGACCGGTTCACAAATTTAAATCTGAGTCTGATTGACAACTTCTCAAGGCCATTGTTTCACAATGTCTCAGCTATGGAATGGCTTTCTTTCAGACTAAATTTACTGTCAAATTTTGTGTTTGCCTTCTCATTGGTTTTGCTGGTAACTCTCCCTGAAGGAATAATTAATCCAAGTGAGTATCACATTAACTTTTTAGACATTATTGAACACTATATTTATATATATATATATTGTTTTTACAAGAATAGTCATAAGGAGTAATGAGAATATGATTCTTGAATAACAGGCATTGCAGGGTTAGCAGTAACATATGGAATAAATTTGAATGTTCTGCAAGCTTCCATTATATGGAACATATGCAATGCGGAAAACAAAATGATCTCAGTAGAAAGAATACTTCAGTACTCAAACATAAAAAGTGAAGCTCCCCTTGTAATTGAAGAGTGCAGACCTCCGAATAACTGGCCAGAAGTTGGATCAATTTGCTTCCAAAATTTGCAAGTAAGCCTATATTAGTATAAGCAAGGAGAGAGTCCCTAGTAATCCTAAGAATTTTAAAATTAATAGATTAAAAAAATCAAATCTCATGTGGTTGCAGATCCGTTATGCTGAACATCTGCCATCAGTGTTGAAAAACATATCATGCACATTTCCAGGAAGGAAGAAAGTCGGTGTTGTGGGAAGGACAGGGAGTGGAAAATCAACCCTCATACAAGCCATATTCAGGATTATTGAACCTAGAGAGGGAAGCATTATAATTGATGATGTGGACATTTCCAAGATAGGGCTTCATGATTTAAGATCAAGACTTAGCATCATTCCACAAGACCCAACACTCTTTGAGGGAACTGTTAGAGGAAATCTTGATCCACTGCTTCAATATTCTGACAAACAAGTCTGGGAGGTAAAATTAATCATAAAAAGTTAGAATTAATTAAAAAATATTTCATCTGACATCATATAATTCATGCTTCAGGCTCTAGATAAATGTCAACTTGGTGATATAGTGCGTGCAAAGGAAGAGAAGTTGGATAGCACAGGTGAGGTTTATCAATTTCAATTATAATCGATATAATCAAAATTCAATTGCATTGACTTACTGTGAGAGTTCCGTTACAGTGGTTGAAAATGGTGAAAATTGGAGTGTGGGGCAAAGGCAGTTATTGTGTCTTGGAAGGACCTTGCTGAAGAAAAGCAGCATTCTGGTACTGGATGAAGCAACAGCATCGGTGGATTCTGCAACTGATGGGATCATACAAAAGATCATTACTCAAGAATTCAAAAATCGCACAGTTGTTACAATTGCTCACAGAATCCACACCGTTATTGATAGCGATCTTGTGTTGGTCCTTAGTGATGGTAAAATATCACATCTATCTTTTTATTATTATTATTTTGGATTTGGTATGATATATTATTTTATTTTATTTTATTTTGTGAGCAGGAAGGATTGCAGAATATGACACACCAAAAAAACTACTAGAAAGAGAAGATTCTTTCTTCTCTAAATTGATAAAGGAGTACTCTATGAGATCTCACAACTTCAACAACTTGGCGACGCCATCATGATTATCGTAAAAATCTCCTGCAAAATATAAAAGATTTGGTGGATGGATCAGCACGATCGACAGCGCACCCTCCCGCCAGTCAGGGGTTTAATATTTTACGATGACAATGAAATAAGGATGGATACTCTCCAAATCAAAACCCTTGATATATAAGGTTATATTTTAAGCACTAAAATGCTAGCATTATTTACTATCTAGCCATTCTTCCTTTTGTGCTCATTGGGATCAATAGCAAAGGGCTAGGTTGGTTAACGTTGGCNTTTTTTTTTTTTTTTTTTTTTCTTGATGATTGGTGGTGTTTGAGCCAGTTTCCGCATACTTCAACTAATCCCTTGAGATTGACTGTTGAATTACCGACTGAGTAAGAATTCTAATGACCACCCGTATTAGCAACCGTGAGGACTTGAACTCGTAAGATCATGTTAGATTCTATTATTGTTCTTTTATCCTCAAGAGAATTTGAACTTATGAGACCATGTTAGATTCTTTTATTGGGAGACCATTTTGCTTATCTTTTACCGGTGATGACTTGAGTGCTTTTCTTTGAATATCTTTTACTAGTGATAACTTTCACAAAGATGTAAGTTGTAACAACACGAATCAATATACATAACATAAAATAGAAAAGACAAGATGAAAAACCTGTGAGTTGGACATCACAAAGCCCAGATGGCCCATGGTTAGAGAGAGTTATGGGCCATGTATTCTCATAATCTAAAACAATATAAGGAAATTATGAAAGTTACTCCTCAAGCGGACAATATCTAATCATTTTGAAAATTTATGTACTTACTTAGTTTATACATCATCTTTTACCGTTGTAGATAATACTAAATACTTAAAATGACCATGAAATTATATTTATTTTTAGAATTTTGTAGATGTGGTATCAAATCGGGGCAGCCTGGGTTGGGGCAAATTATTTTTTGTTCAGGTCCAGGTTCACTTCAGTCCATCTATAAGGACTAGTTAGAGGGGTGAGTTCATTAGTCCTTGAATCAATTGGGCTCGTTTTCTGGATGGCTATGCCTTGATTAGCCCACAATCAGCCTAAGCTTGGGTCACATTATCTTAACGAGAGGGAATGGTGGTTGGAGTAAAAATTAATTGCCTATAAATCCAATTAGTGCAATTGGTGCATGGTATCAGATTTATTAAATTTTTTTATTAGAGGAATATTAAGATATTTGAAAAAAAAAAAAAAAAAAAAAAAAAAAAAGCTTCCAACATATAATCACATGATTACAGGATAATAAGTTAAATGTGTTATTTTCCTTTAATCAATATGGTGTTCACCCAAAAATATGCACATTACTTGGGATTTTAATTTTGTAAATATAACTTTGTGTTTAGTGTAACAATGAAATAGAATGACAATATACAATTAATCATTTAATTATTTAAATAAAATTAAAATCAGTTAAATATATAGTTATACATGAAACCACTTCAAATAAAATTATTATTTTTAACTAATTAATAGAAGTATTTAATAATTAGTTTTATAGAAGACTAGTCTGCGTGCTTTACTTTTATACTCATTTTATTTAAAGATATTGGGTTTTATTCTTGATTGATGCTGTTGGATTGAATCTTACAATCACAAAATATATTTTAACATCACTTAGTTTAAAGAAATTTGTATAAATATTGTATCCAAATATTACATTTATTGGAGTATAAGTTACTTATTACAAATTATATAATTCATATAAGTATGTAATGGAGAGTTTCAGCATTAATAACTTTGAAAGGCTTGTTTCTAGAAATGTAACTACCGCTGCATTTGTATCAAATTGGTTCACATAATCCGATTAGTATTTAAGCGTACTTTGAAAACACTTCACTCGACTTTGTCAAACTCAAATTAAAATTTAAAACTTAATTTGTCATGATTCATTTTCACCAACAATTAGTATTGGCCAGTGATGAGAAATATGTAAACTTCAGCGCCCCGTTTCACTGTGCAAACTTGGAGAATATTGAATATCCTTTCTGGGGAACGAGTAGGCCAGAGTATTGTGGGCACCTGCTGGGTTATGAGTTGGACTGCCAAGGCGTGATCGCAGAGATTACAATCATGGGGAGAACCTACGTAGTGCTTGACGTCAATAACGCTTCCCGGAGTCTCACAGTTGTTATATAAGATTAGTGGAATGACATTTGTCCCTCAAACGCTTCTTTAATTATACTTCCGATACATAAAATTTTACGCTGTATTATCACTGCCCTCCTCTTGTGAAAGACATTCCGGTCGCGCTGCTTCCCTTTAATTGCAGACACCAATGATTATTATTTCATAGAGTAAACGACATTTTCCCACCCAAGGTTTCGTGCATGCAAGTTCGCACCCTTGATTTTATAAATTCCATTTTCCACCCTTAAACTGACAAAAATCATTTAATATGGCCGTTGAAGGGTAAAATAGTCATTTGAACTACATCAAATCCGAAATGAAAATAAAAATTTCAAATAAACCTCCACGTCTCAAATTTCTCTACAAGCACCGTCCCCATCTCAAATTTCTTTCAGTTTCTCTCTTCTAACCTTCATTGCTTTCCCGTCACCTTCCTCTATTTCTTCTCTTCTTATTCTTCTTCTTCCTTTCTTTTTTTTCTTCTCCCCTCCTTCCTTCCTTTCTTCTCTCCTTCTCATAAAATCACTGTTACTCTTGACATCAATGCGAAATTGCCAATCACAAAAGCTAGAATAGGAACAAAACACTATCAACATTGACCCAAATATCAATATCAGTCAAAAGCGTGACAAATCCCTGGCACATACCCATAATTTCATCTCAATGAAACCATCAATCACATTAAAATGAGGTAATATAATGTTTCAAAGGAAGAACCATTTTTGGAGAAACCACAAATATTAATCATCCACATCAAAGCCCAAACAACACAAAATTCATATTTTTGAGAACCCACCTTAACAATCCAGTCAACCGTCTCTTTTCTAGGCACCAAATCCAAATCAGGGCGCCGCGATTTGGCCAAAATTCAGCAGCGACGAGGCCCTCATGCGGTGACCCAAACCCATGCAAGGGCCAAGCAACCATGAAGAGAAGGAGAGAAGAAAGAAAGGAAAGAAGAGAAGAGAAGAAAGAAAGGAAATATAGTATAGGAGAATATAGTATATGATATTCTCCTATACTATATTTAAGGAACCTCATTAGTATTGAATTTGTATTTATCATATTATCTACCAGGTTTGAGTAAATAACATTAATAATCAATAAATATTTAGATTATCGTAGATTATAATGTGTTGTATGAAATCTAATCTAACTATCAAAATTTAAAAATACATTATAGCAAGGATTCAATTACTTTGGTACAAACTATATTTATGGTCGGGTACCGGTGGCATTTTGACTTGATAATTAGCTAATTATAATAGAGAGCACATTTGTATGGTGATCTATCATTAATAAGACTGTTTTAAATGTCCTTTGTGTCTATCTTACAATGAAATTCACCTGCACCTTCTTTCCCGTTTTGTTGGTCAAAATATGTGAACTATGTATGCATAGATCAATTCTCAGCAAATGAGAATATGATCATTTTCAATGTAGAATATTTTATATTGAAACGAGATGGTCTTGAGTCAATGTTTCCAATTACAACTTTACTTGTGTTCTGTTCAAGATCACTGATATTTCTGGATCTCTTGACAGTTGGAAGGAAAAATAAACCTTTAGTCATTGGCGTAACAGTTGCATCATGTGTGGTGGGACTGGGGGTAGTAATGATCCTCTGCATTCTTCTCATTGTTGGTAGAGGACGATTTTTGAAGAAGAAAACAGAGAATGATAAAACCGTACAGGCCTTTGTTAGAAATTACGATTCTCTCACTCCACATAGATACAGTTATTATGATGTTAAAAAGATGACAACATCATTCAGGGATGAACTTGGTCAAGGAGGCTTCGGTGATGTCTACAAAGGAATGTTATTAGATGGTCGTCTTGTTGCAGTGAAGGTATTGAAGGAATCTAAAGGTAATGGGGAGGAATTTATCAATGAGGTCGCTAGCATCAGTAGAACATCTCATGTTAATATATTTGCTTTTTTAGGTTTTTGTTATAAGAAGAAGAAAAGAGCTCTTATATATGAATTTATGTCTAATGGATCTCTAGAAAAATTCATATATGATAACGAACCTTCAAGTGTTAACCGCAAGTTGGAATGGGAAACAATGTCTCATATTGTAGTTGGAATTGCCAGAGGTTTAGAGTATTTACACCGAAGGTGTAATATAAGGATTGTGTATTTTGATATAAAACCTCACAATATTCTCTTAGATGAAGACTTTTGTCCAAAGATATCTAATTTTGGACTTGCTAAACAATCCAACACAAAAGAGAGTATCATATCAATGTTAGTTGCTAGAGGAACTATGGGATATACTGCACCGAAAGCATTTTGTCAACATTTCGGAGAAGTTTCTCACAAGTCTGATGTCTATAGTTACGAAATGATGGTTCTCGAAATGATTGGGGGGAGAAAAAACATTGATGTTGGAGTGTCTCATACCAGTCAAATATATTTTCCACATTGGATACACAAGTGTGTTGAATCTGGAAAGGATCTCGAACTTCATGGGGTTGTCACTGATGAAGAAAAAGAGATTGTGAAAAAGATGATATTAGTGGGCTTGTGGTGCATTCAAACCAATCCATCTGATAGACCATCGAAGACCAAAGTTGTAGAAATATTGGAAGGTAGCCTAGAAAACTTGGAGGTTCCACCAAAACCTTATTTGTCTTCTCCAACAAGATCACCTCAACATTCTTCTCCTACATCATCAACATGAGTAATGCATCACACAAAAAGACTCTTGTCTATTTGAGTAGTTAACACAGTGCAACATAAATCATTATATGGTATTATCCTTTAATTGATATATCATTTATTTTTATTTAATGAGTTAATATAAATATTTTCACTCTTCCAAAAATTTTGTATCATATATTTAGTATATCTTTTTTTTTTTTTTTTTATGATCGGTGGTGTTTGAGCCAGCTTACGCATATATTAACTAATCCCCCGAGATTGTAGAACTACCAATTGAGTAAGAATTTTAGTGACTACCCCTATTAGTAACCGTAGGAACTCGAACTCACAAGATCATGTTAGATCATCCTCTTATTTTTTTAACTGCAAGGGGACTCGAACTTGGGAGACTATGTTGAATCTTCCTCTTAGGAGATCATTTTGTATATCTTTTACTAGTAAAAACTTGAGTGCTCTTCTTTGAGTATCTTTTACTAGCGATAACTTTCACAAAGATGTAAAAATAAGATTCAAGATACATAATATAAAATAGGAAAGATAAGATGAAAAAGGTGAGAGTTGGACATCACAAAGCCCAGATGGCCCCTGGTTAGAGAGAGTTATGGGCTATGTATTCTCAGAATCTCTAACAATATAAGGAAATTATGAAAGTTATTCCTCAAGCGGACAATATTTAATCATACTGAAAATTTATATACTTATTTAGTTGATACATCATCTTTTACGGTTGTAGATAATACTAAATACATAAAATGACCATGAAATTATATTTATTTTTAGAGTTTTGTAAATGTACGCAAATTATTCTTATTATTTTTTATTCTGGTTCTGGTTCACTTCAGTCCATGAGGACTAGTTAGAGGGGTAAGCCTATTAGTCCTTAAATTGGGCTCATTTTCCGGATGTTATGCCTTGGTTAGCCCGCCGTCAGGCCTAAGCTTGGGTCACTTTATCTTAGCGAGAGGGACTCAGCACTCAGGTCGATTAAATGGTGGTTGGAGTAAAAATGAAGAGAAATGCTAAATGTACAAAACCTCTTACAAAGAGTTTTTGTGTAAAGTGGTGTGACAACTAATTTCACATCAAATCTTCTCTTTCTTTTCACAAACTGATGGTGTTATAGTTGCTATTTCACTTTGTACAAAGACTCTTTGTACATCTAGCATTTCTCAAAAATTAATTGCCGATAAATCTGATTAGTGCATTTGGTGCATCGTATCAGATTTATTAAATTAACTCGACATTGTTAAACTCAAATTAAAACTTAATTGGTCATGATTCATTTTCAACAGCAATTAGTATTGGGACTATTGGCCAGTGATGCGAAATATATAAACTTCAGCGCCCCATTTCACTGTGCAAACTTGGAGAATATTAAATATCCTTTTTGGGGAACGAGTAGGCCAGAGTATTGTGGGCACCCGGGTCATGAGTTGCACTGCCAGGGCGTGATCGCATAGATTACAATCATGGAGAGAACCTACGTAGTGCTTGACATCAATAACGCTTCCCGGAGTCTCACGGTTGTTATACAAGATTACTGGAATGACATTTGTCCCTTGAACGCTTCTTTAATTATGGTTCTGATACATAAAATATAACGTTGTATTGTCACTGCCCTCCTCTTGTGAAAGACATTTCAGCCGCGCTGCTTCCCTTTAATTGCAGCTCGGTAGAGACAGACACTAATAATTACTATTTCATAAGGGGCAACAATAGTGTTAATTGAAAGTTTTAAAGGATTACCAAGTGTTTAAAATTTATGCGGAATGGGTTCTTTGTTCAATTTTTAGTATAAATGAGTTGTGAAAAACTTAATTAAAACATACATCAAAGCAAGTAAAGAATAAGCTCATTTTCACATGGTTTGACATTAAGCCTATATCCATAGGACCACATCCAGAGGAAGCAAATTCACTATGAAATACTTATGAGTTCAAATACAAAGCAAGATAATCAAAGTTGTAAAACACTCCCTGTTTTTTACACAATAACTCTATCTTCTTTGGTTAAACTTCAAGTTCTCATAGCAAGCTTCACGAACACAACACCATCATATTGAAGGAGAGCTCATCTCAAGAGCTTACACACAAGCTCTCATCACAATGATAAAAGCATCCAAAGATCTCACACAGGACAAGTGAGGATGGTAATTCTAAGCCTACCAAAGCATAGTAAGAAACTTTAACCAAAACGAGAACTTTAGAGAATATTCAGACAAAAAAACAAATGTGATTAGATCCCTTGAAGAAAAAGGCCAAAAAATGAGTAAATATAAAGAGATCAATGCGTCAAGAGTTGAAGGACAAAAAAGTTAAATATTAACTTTTGTGTTTTTCTTTTTACCGAAGAAATTTGGGACCACAGATAAAAACAATATTCCTTTTCTCACATAGCAAATAAAAAGTGGATAAATGTAAAGGAACAAAACAGAATATCAGCAAGGAATAATATTGTCCAAAAAATAAAACGAGTGCATGAGGGGAAAATATATGTTAGAAGTATTGTGAACACACACATGCTAAAGTGCTCACATTTGCAAAGGTGTTCACCTTTAGCAGGTGTGCCCACAATGGTAGAAAGGACAAAATAGTGCAAGACTCAAAACAAGATTATTATGTGACAAAAACACTAACAATCTCTCCCTTTGTCACTTATGATCAAAGCACAATTCTTAGACAACAAAAGAAAAAACATTTTTCAAAGTAAGAGATTGAAAATACAATTTAAGAACAAGACTACTCCCCTTCAATAATAAACCTCCCTCTAAACAAAACATAAGTTAAGAAGGAATTGGTAAAACCCTTTCAATGATCGCAGTCGCAATTGGTAAAACTAATACAACTTTCACAAGCTTATACACTAACATATACAAAATGTCTTATTTAAATCAAATTAAATTCTTAGCCAAATCACCAATTTCTTGTAACTCAGCAAATTCATTACAAGAACGCATGTCAATAACATAAGTCTTAGCCTAGTTCTCAAGTACCATCAACTCAAGTGTAGAAAAGTCACATGGATAAAACTAGCCAAACCCATTCTTCCCTCTCTTCTCTTTTTCCTTTTCTTTTGCTTCTTCTTTATGGGTTTTTCTCTCTTCTTCTTCATTTTGGACGAACAGTCTTATTTATAAAACAATTTCTTTGAATTATGAAACTGTCCAAAAATTCTCTTATTCTCACCATGACCCCATCACATCAGTTTTCTATTGTAAAAATACCCAAATTTCTCCCCTCAATTACGTGTAAACCCAACAATTCTTATTCCTTTTATTTTCACTCCTAATAAAACTTTTAAAAACTAACAGATTCCCTTGTATAAAAATAAAAATCACAAAAAATATAAAATATATATATTAGGATTAAAAATGGGGTCTACAAAAACAAAATCCAAACTTACTATTGGGGTCATCCCGTTCCCAAAATCTAATAGTTCTATAGGGGCGAAATTTAAATAAATGTATCTGAAAGTTTTTAAAAATTACGGTCCCCACTCGTCATTCATTGGATCGCCACTGATTCATTTCCGTTTCAAGGAAATTCAAAAGTATTGAGTAATTTAATTTCACGACTCTCAGCTTGAAAGCCACAAAATAAACACTATAAAATATTAACATCAAAACAAGAAATTATTAGCACTAAAAGCATCCAAAATTAGTAGTAATCCTCCTTAAACACGAAGAAACTGAAAAAATTCAATAAAATTATGCCACATTTCTCATGTTAGACTTTTACAATATGGTCCTGCACTTCTCCTTAATTGCATTTTGGTCCCTGTTGATGTGGTCATACGGTTGTGTCTCTTGGGCAGTTGTCTTTGATGGAAAGACAACTGCATATAAGAGAGAGAAGTTCACAGGTCCCCATTCGATGCATTTTTGATTCCCAAACCATCACCCAAAATTGCAGTCAAGTGGAAGATCCTGTAATTCATAAAGGAGCAAGAAGATTAAAGAAGTAATTGCTATGGCTGGAGGTTTGTCATTTATTTCCGCATATATTCCATGGAGTTTTTACAAACTTAGCATTGATTGTAGTGTAAAGAATTTGGAATATGAATATGTTTTACATTTGGTATCAGAGCTTATATGAATCTCTGCCTAGCATAAGTTATTTGTTGCAAATCTGAAAAATATTGCATAAAATTAGGATTTTTCCATTAAAACCCGTACTGTAAATCAAGCATAACTTTTATTATAAATAGAATTTGTTTTCGATTTTGATGTCATTGGAATCCTTGTTGAAAAAGCTTTCCACGGTATATTATTTGTCAAAAACGGAGTTCTGGATGCAAAGTTATGCTAGTTTTAAAGTTTTGGTTGGTAGTTATTGTTTGGGTGTTTTCGGAAGCCATTTATGGCATCTATTTAGGACGAAATTGTCATTTGGGATGTCACTGATATATGTTATAAGTCCACATTTGAGTTTCCCTCGAAAACGCCGGAAAAATGGCCGGAAACGGGCTGTTGAAAATCTGGAAAAATGCGGGTAAATGTTGCAGAAAACCGGTCAGAAGAACCGACCCAATAGGAAAACGGGTCAAAACGACCCGTCAAAGTCAAGTCAAACCGAGTCAAACAACCCAGTCACTCAGCCCAAACCCGTCAGGCAACCCGACCCGGTCAACGTCAGACCGGTCAACGGACCGGTAACGGGTCAGACTGGTCAACGGACCGGTCAACGGGTCAAACCGTTCAACCGACCCGGTCAAACGGTCAACCCACCCTGGTCAAGACCCGGCGCGTGAGGCGCGTGCGGACTTGGCTTGCGTCAGCGCGTGAAGGTTTAGGTTGGTGGCCGTGTAAGCGCGTGCAGGCCGTGAGGAGACTGTGGGGGCGCGTGGGGGCGCGTGAGAAAGTGTGCTGCCTTCTGGCGGCGCGTGGGGGCGCGTCCTCTGGTCCCGGTGGGCGTGGAAGTCAGTGACAGCTTGTATGATGGTTTTTATGTTATATATTCTTTGTTATGCAATAATAGTATTATTCTTGCATTGATTTGTGTTATATTATACAATTCATGT